TAAGATATAAAGACATATTTCAATAGGTTTATGAAGAGAAATATTAAAATAAACAATACTGGGACGCTAGAACATTCAAACATTGTACAATAATTATCATTCTTTCAATTTTATAATTATACTTTTCAAATTTTATTAATTTTTGAAAATATTTATTAATTTAGTACTTTATTTAAATAAAAACTATTTTTTAAATAGTAAATATCTTTGCATTTTTAACATATAATGTTTTTATTTTACACATAATTGTAAAATAAAACAAATAAAACATTTAAGGTAGTAACTATTTTTTTAAATAATAACAATGTTTTTATTTTTAACATATAATTATGTGTAAAATAAAATATATAAATCATCTAAGGTAGATGAAATATATTATTTTTATAATTTTTAGTTTTTATTAAAATGTTTTGAAAAAAATAAATCTTAAATTATTTATTTTAGTTTTCATAATACTATTTGTTTAACTTGTATTAAAGTTGAAAAACAATCCAAAAATACTTAATGTACAATTTTGTCAAACTAGACATGGATACGCCTTTGTATCAGTGTGTATTGAATCGTATTCACCGATACAACGCAACATGACCCAATACGGAGGCATATCGTACCAATACGCATGATTCATGGTCATGGATACAGATACGATATGCCCCATATCGAGAGTATCGTATCAATACGTTAATCCTCGGGCCCGCCACATAAATACCCACTCAGTTATCCAAGAAAAAAAACTGACTTTTCAATGGTACTAATTACGATCTACGGCTGCTGAATCCCCTTCATAAGATCCATTATTAAAATAAATTCTGATGTCATCATCAATCTATTCATCCCTAATCAGCATCCGGCTTATACATAGACCCAAATCTACTCCTCACACCTGGCGCCTTACACACACATCCTATCATGCATTGAGAACATCTCTGGTACTTATTAGTTATTATTCATGGGAGATATTACCGATGCGAGACTAGATCTATTTCTCACAATTGGCACCTCACACGCACATCCTATCATACATTGGGAACATCTCCCATACTTATTAATAAATATTCATGAGAGATGTCCCAATACACGGTGGATGTGTCAATGCACGATGGATGTGTTTGTGAGGCGCCCATTTGTGAGGAGATGATTCCTCACGCTTATACATTCATAAAGACCTTATATTTTAATTTGCAGCAAAGACCTCTTGAACTTTTTCACTGTGACAAATACCCTTTTCACCGTTAAATCAGATAACCGAAAACATTAAATCACCAAAATACCCTATTAAACTCTCTCTATTTTCATTTTCTTGCCATTCTCAGTTAAAACCTAACTGACCCAAAAATATCTTTAATCGTTAACCATCCGCTCACGGCAGCCACAAACACAAACACCGTTGCTGCCACCTCCTCCACCCCCACTGCCACCTCCAACCGACAACTCCGCGGCGGTGACCTCTGCAACACTTGCTTCTCAACTACTCTTCAGCTCCACTTTTATTCCTTCCTTCTCTTTGTTCACTCCCTTAGATAACCATCTCATCTCCAACCCACTAAAGTAGTAAAGAATAATACCGACGGCTACACATTCTCTACTTTGACCTCTTGCAACATCTTTGATAAGGAGATAAGGAAGGGAGAGACACGACTTCTATTTCTCCCTTCTCTTTGTTCACAGAGAAGTGCAAAAACCAAAATACAGAGGAAGAGAGAGTTGCAGTCTTGCAGACGCCCTACACACAGAGAGGGAGAGATCAGTATAATCCTACACCCAAGGATGTTCACAGAGAAGTGCAACATCCTGGAGTGAGACATGTATCTCTTGTTCATCTCATCCCCCCTGTTCTGTCTTTGATCTAAGTGCCAATGAAGGCAGTTTCAGGGTCGCTAGTCTCTTACAAGCCGATCACCCCCTCGAAAGCAACTTAAGTTCTATCCAGTTTTACGTCAGTTGATGCCGGTGCTTCACAAGCTGTTTCTGCCTACCTGAGACGCGCTTCCGCTTCCTTTAACAAGCTGGTCCGATTCCACAGAGAATTGAAAACTAGATGATTCGAGCACAAACGCTAGAAAAGTTGCTTGGAAACAGTAGAGAAGGAAGAGGAGGCTTAGAAATTTATGACGAGAAGAGAAAGGATAAAAAGAGAGGAAGACTGTGGAGGTTGAACATGAAGGATTGGATGATTCAGAAGAGTGACATTGCAGGTTGAAAAAGAAGAAGAGGAAACATGAAGCCAATGATCTGTTACGGGTATAAATGGTGATGTTTTCTCCTTTGGGAGTTGTGATAGTAAGTTATTCTCTTTGCAGTGGAGGCAATTTATTCATTCGGAATAAATTGTATTTGTTTTTTTTTTTAATATCTAGTTCGTTTAAAATCTAAATATAACTTGTATCCTTCATCTTTGAATTTAGTTTAATGGCATTCCCTAAATTGTGTGCAGTCTCTGACATTCACTGCATTGGTCTAACTCAGATCGTTGTTGCTGAATGTTTTTAGTTAAAATAACACCATTCCTTCAAGGAAGCTCATCTTTACAATTTTGTAGATTGGCAGTGTCTAACATTGTAACTGAAAGGCTAATTGGGTCCCTTGACTGCAGCTTCATTCCCTGGGCAACTGAAAGCATTCCATTCTATCATGTTCTTCTGGTTGCCATTCCTCATTAAAAAATGGAAGATTACTAACACTACTGGAGCTCGGAAAGAGACACTCAGACTTAACATGATCCACGAATCCTCCTCAAAGTACTTCAATGATGATACAATCATCTTTAACACAGGCCACTGGTGGATGCACCAGAAAACTTCTCGAGGGTAATGCAACCAACTTTCATGATTTGCTTTGCGACATTCTTATCTATAATTTATAGCACTATCAACTCAGGAGCTGAATTGGGCCTAGATGCTGATCCCCCCCTATCACCGCACTCAAATTCTTCTCAAACACCTTGACATCAAATCCTCTGTTTTTGGCTGCTAGAGCCAGGACTAACCCACCAATACCACCTCCAGCTATCAGAATCTGAAGCTTCTTCTTTCCATTCTTCTCTTCATCCAAACTCAGCGATCCTCCTTGACACCGGAAGGCGCAGAAACAAACACATTGCAGAGACGTCGTGGAGCAAAAGTATGTATGGAAATATGGGTTCTTCATCTAATAACTGGCTTTTTAAACTTATAATCAACAGAAATATAAGCTAACACTCCAAACTGCCCATAATATAGAGCAAAGTAAATGGGATGAAGATTATAACAGAAAAGGAAAAAAATGTAAAATAAATTAGAGAGGGGAAGTTCGGGCATTTAGAAAATTTTAAATGGTCAGATGAGAATCTTTTTCGAAGTCAGGTCTTTCTCTAACAGTCAAAGTTCAGGGGATGTTTATCCAAAAAAAGAACAAGGGGAGGAGGGGTTTGTCACTGGCCCCATAGTACAAAGGGGTCCTTGTAATTTATCCTAAAATATAACAAATAAGGATTTTCAGCCAAATCTGTTGATCTCCATTAACTAGACGCATGCAAAACTTATGTGTAACCTTCTAATTGGATTCAGACTACTGAAGTGAGGCGTTCAATGAATCCAGACTCCTCACAAGACACCACCGCAATGTATTGGGAGAATCCGGATCAGTGCTCATAAATCCGTACTTACACCATTCTCACAGTCCCTTACAACTCTGTGAATATGATTTTGTGAGGACTGAATCCAAATTTGCATGGGGAACATGTTTGTGGGAAAAGTTGTGGATAGGAGATCCAAGTGGATGAGAAGCATATTTTTCTTCTTGCCTAAACGTTTCAAGAGAAAAGACTAATGTTGTGTTTGATTTGATAAAAAATAAGAGAAAAAGAGAAAATGTGAGGGAAAGTTTTAAAGTAATATCACTCCAAAATAGATCAAATCAGATCCCCCACCAGAAATGATGATGTCATCATCAAGAGATGTTCTCAATATACGGTGAGAATATGCTGTGGGAGGCAATCTTATGGGGGGCTGATTTGAACTCATCACAAAAGTCCATAAAAACTTTTTTCTCAACATTTTTTACGTGTGCTTGTACTTGTAAATGTGATTCGTTATTTAGCAAAGCATGACAGATTGCAATGGACGATGGAAGGGGTATTGCTTGTAAAACAAAAGTAAAGGAGGAAATTAACGATGGTGTAATTTATTTATTTTTGACAAACACACAAAACCATGACCATACATGCAGGACCATCAGCGCCCCACAAGGGATGCCCCACAGAACATCTTCTGATAATGTGTTTGGGATGTGATGTGGGGCGCTGATGTGAATTCAACAAAATATACTCTCAAAGCAATAAAATGTTCTGAAACAAGCTGCCAAATTCATTGCTTTGTATGATGGTAAAATCTAATGTTGGGCCAATAAGCGTGAGAGCGCAGGTCTTGGCGCAAAAACACGTTGGTGATTAGGCCCCGTATACGGAGTCCACCCATCCAGGCCCAGGCCCAGGCCCCAGACAGCTGGGACCTCCCACCACCAATTCGTACTGGCTTCTGTTTAATTTTTATTTTTGAGGAAACCTATCCTTAAATATACAAAAGAGTATGATGGCTGGTAGCTTTCAAGATACCATAATTACCATTCAAGTTCCGGGATGATATTCTATTACTATGGATTCCAATCAATCTGGTCATCATCTTGATGTGATGTGAGGCCAAGGCAAAGCATCTGCGTGAATTATCTATTTACATTGTATGGTTCTTTATTTGATCAATTATTGTAACTATAGTATTGATTTTGAACCAGTCTACATACAAACCAAATTCTTGTTTTGATTTTGTGCCGCAATTGGGTGGCACAGGACTACTCCGCATCAATGCGGGGTGTAGGTTTTGGTAGATCTAATCCAAATTACAAAATAATACTAATAGAAATGTTCTTAATCTGTAACTATATAAAAACACCGTAATCACCATTTTAGTCCCAACTGCCAACACTAACATACTGCTACACAAGAACTCCATGGTCAAGATAGGATATAGGGAATTCTGACCATGTTGGATAATTTCAAACTTCAATAAACCAAAAGCATCCCACAATTCATCTAACAATCAAGTCCCTAAAGTCACATTACAAACAATGACTCCGTGAAGAGAGAGAGAGAGAGAGAGCCTAAAACTGATGCCACTCCAAACACTAACTGATTTAGGGTTGTGTGTCCTCTCTCTCTCATTCAGATGGGGATTTTCACAAAGCGCATCCCACAGAGACAAGTATGGGAGATGTTCTCAATGCATGTTGAGAAATGTACATGGGGCACGCTGTGAGGGGGAATTCATTCATCTGCTAACAGCGAACAAGAAATGAAAGAAAAGAGAATATAAAACTTTACAAAAAAAAAAGGAACAAGGAGAAATCATCCTTGCTGCTTCACTCAAAGCTGACGACAATTGATGATTTTCATCGTCCGGGTTCTAACAATATTTACAACTGTTCCTCCTCCATCTGCCACTACCGACACTCCCAAATACAATACTTTCTTCCGGGAGGAAAAAACTAAAAATCAGACCCTACCTACAGACACTTGCCTCCACAACTTCCAACTCTTATTCTTCTCCCGTCTCTCTTTTCTACATTCACAGACACACAACTGCCTCAAAACTGGCACGACGTCCCAAGCCTCTGCCCAAGGCTCACTGATCTCCGGCTTGCAAATGCTGGGTGCAGCAGCTCCTGGAACTTCTCAAGAAATAGTGTCCACTCCTCATCATTCATGTCGGCCAGCTTCACAAAACTTACACTTGCAGGCAGCTGCTCATTTGCACTCCTGTTTGCTGAAGTGCCTTCGGGCTTTGCATTTCGGTAGAAAGGATTCTTCTCACCTAGACCAATGTTTTTCAGTGACATGGACAGCTTAGAGATGGTAGGAGGCCGATTCAGAGCCAGCGGGGTTGCAAATTCCTTCCTCCTCACTGGCTCCTCTTCCCCCTCACTCTCTTCCTCCTCGATGCACTCCTCTACTTTGGATAGTAGGTTTCGGCCATTCCCACCTCTGAACCCAACATGAAATGGCATTTTAGTCATGAAATCATATGCCACTTTGGGCGTGGAGTCCACCTCTGCTACATCGCAATCTATATCAAACTGGATATCCTCTTCATCTCCTGCTTCAGAATGAGAGGAAACTTCCTTCTCTACTGCTATCAACCTCCTTGCCTCAATGCACACAAGCTCAAGCTCGCTTGGCTCCTCTTCACGGCTCCGAAACTCTCTGCTCATCATTTCCCCAATCTCAGAAAGACAGAGACCATAAGCTGCTGCTTCCTTGAGGAAAACAGTGCAGAGAACCAAAACCCTAAGGCATGCCTCCCGTATCATGGGTAGCTCCATCCGCAGCATGTCAGAATCCTTAACTGGATCAAGCTGTTTTATATACTCAAGTTCATCCTCGGAGAAAGGAATTGAAGCTTGAGGCCAATGAATCCACTCAAAGTATGGGTCCTCAAGGCTCTCTGGCAGGCAAAGTCCATGATCAATGGGAATGAGCTCTACCTGACCAAATCTCCCAACCCCATCAAGCTTCCTCACAAGAAGATTTCCAGCATGTCTGTCTGTATTGAAGATTCTAATATCTAAAATCCCTATCCTATGCACAGCAGCAACAGGGAAGCTTGATGTCCCATGATCGCTGGCATCAAAGTCATGAGGAATAAACTGCTGGAAAGATGCAATTTTGCTAACTTGTTTTCTATCATGAGGCTTGCTTCCATTTACACCATCATTGACATTGAAAATTGTGTGTGTAATCTTCACAAGGGCAGTCGGGGGCACATTGGCAAAATGATCATAGTCAAGAAGGTAAGCTGCAACTTCCCGGAACCCTGTCTCCCCAACCCGCACAGAACGTTTTAAGCCAGGCTGCCCAAGGGCCTTACCAACAAAGCCCTTTGGGTTGTTTGGCGCAAAAGGTTCTTCATCTGTTGGCTTTACAATTGCAACACTCTCTCCTTGACTGTTTCTAAAATAGTAAGCACCTCCAAGACCACTATGCACAGGAATTGGATCAACACCTTTCTTTATTGCCTTTACAATGTCCTTCACCAGTTGTTTTGGTCTAGAAAATCTGCTCGAGCGCCCCAATATCTCAATCAGAGCACTTGGATCCTTCTGCTGGAGATCCTTCCCAGTTGGTGAGAGGCATGGAGTCGATGAGCTTCTTTGCAGGAGGTTCCTTGTCAATAAAAGAGGTGAATCATTCCGGACAGCACTAAGATCATTCTTCAGAACCAGATCCCCAAATGTCAACGAGCTCTCCTCTGTTGGAACATTAAGGGCAATCTGCAACCTTCTTTTTACAGTATGAACATTGTCACTTCGATCCAACTCCAGCCCCAAAACACAACCAGTATCAGTTTGGACAAAGACTCGCCTCCTCCCAGATGATTTTCCCTCCAATATCTTGCTCCTATGGTATTCCCCGCTGATGGGACTGTTTAATACTGCTACTGCCATCTGGGTACGAACAGGGCTATCCAAGTTAGGAGACATAGAAGGAAGGAGAGAGCCAGCAGTTTTCAAGGCCAGCTGCAGAGGTGGCGTCGACAGAGAGCTTCCTCTCTCTCAAGCAGGCGCCAAACTCGATTGCTGACACAGAACGAATGAGATAGATGCGTATTTTCCAAACAATCATTAATCAACTGGCTGGAATTTGAATCTTCTCTGTAATTATCACATCAGAACAGAAAGCGCTATATACTAGGATAGAAATAATGTTGCTACATCGGAGAAACCATTTTCGGTAGGCAAAGCAGAAGAGGCAAAAATCTGTAGAAAAGTAAAAACGTAAACAATTAGTAATCACCATTAATCCCCACAAGAAAGAGATGCACCTTCCTCCTTTAAATAACGCCAAGAATTATTTCGCTGACCTTATAGAAATCAGATTCCTTTAAATTCTTCACCGTTAACAAACTTGTGTTAACACAATATTTTATACCTTTTAGCGCAAACAAAATAACCGTTGAGGAAATGAAAAAATTTGGTAGGTTATATATATACGTAGAACATAATCTACATATCATAGTTCAAAAATTCATTTTTTTAAACATCAAGAAAAAGATCGAAATGTTCACAAAAAGGAAAACCAGTCAGCTGAGAAAAGGATTTTTTTTTTTCTTTTTCTGAGCTTTCTGAAGAAGCTAACAAATACCGAATATAGTGTTATAAGCATTGTTCATGCATTTTGAGTCCCTCACTGTACTTTATTTTCAAAAGACGGAGAGTTTCTTTCTAGATCTACGGAAAACACTACTAGAAGAATATCACAGCATAAAGAGGAAAGGCATTTTAGATAGGCTAATCCACTAAAAAACCCTTAAAAGTTTAATCCATTTCATGAATTGCAACGATAGTTTTTACAGAGTATCAAATTCAAAAATCTAACAAAAATATACGATTGTAACAAACAAATACATTTCCCCTTAAATTTGATGCCTTATGCATCATAAAACCAGCATAGAAATTATGCAACTGTTTCGCCTATAAAAGTGGGCAAGTGACGCCGAAAACCTAAATTCCTGCCGATCGGAAAGAATGCGCTACCATTTCATTAGAAAACCGAATCCATCCAGAAATGTTCAAAGATCTAAGGAAACAATCTAGCCGACTTCAATGATCAAACATTCAAATTTATTCCATGGCAATTAAAAACAGATGTGTCAAAGAAAGAAGGACGAGATTCGGGCATCCCAGAATCCGAACAAGGAAAAAATTCTGATTAATTCAAAAAACCTAAAAGACCAACTCACCGGATTTGAGAGACCTAGAAGCAAGATAACAGGAGTTGAGCTCGTAGGCGAAGAACACCCACCAGAGCCTCGATGTCGTACCAAGGATGATAAAGACCGAAGACAAACGGGCAACGGCTTGGATTCGAGAAGCAGAAGGTTATGAGTGGCTAATACTCGATCGACTGCCTCTTGTCCAAGCCCAAATAAAAAATTAAGCTCTTCTCGCTTTCTCTTCCGTCTACTCTTTTAATTTTTCAACACTGTCTGGTCTCGAGTAAAGGAAGGTAGAGAGATAAAGAGTCATGAACCCATTTGGGGGGTGGGGAGACCCAGAGAGGGGTTTAAAAAACTAACCGTGGTTAGACTGCTGGCGTTTCTCTTTCTCTCTTCTCCTTCGAAGACTCGAGAAATTGAATCGTGAACCGTCGATTTCAAAAGGGAGGATGTCATCTTCGTCTTTTGATGCTGTACATTTGGAATTTCTAGATAGGGCCATGGAGGTAATGACGTGGAAAAGAGTGATTGGGCGGTGACGCGTTGATATCATCGTTCCAACAGGTACCGTTTTTGTTGCCGGAAATGCGGCAGTGGCGATAGTGTTGAAATTCCTTGGGCGATGAAAATTCTTTTCTAATTCTCCCAAATTGACCTCCCTTCTCTTCAAAAATATACAAGTTACCATTCCGCATTAGGAATTTTTGATGGACGAAAACACCCTTCTAAGAATAATGTTACATACGTTAGATCGGATCTAACAGGCACAATATAGTAAATACGTTTAATGAGCACTTGATAAATATTGGTTTTTAATCTTTTTTTTAAGAATAAGTTAAGAGTATATTAAATGACGCCTAGACAGGACTCAGGAGTGGCTTTTTGTTTTTTCGTCAAGATTGGTATTTGGTGGGGTTATCAGGATCACTCGATCAGAATCGAAATGAAGAGTTGATAGATGATAAAGGTTTATGCCAATCACACGGACAGTGATTTTTATGTTTGGTGGAATCAATCAGGACCACGAGAGATGGATGTCGTTTTCAGTTTTCGCCACTCACCCCCAAAAACACAGGGAGAAAGGAGATGAAACAAATAAACAAAAGAATAAAAAAAAAAGCAAATGTGTGACTGCAATTCACAGCGGATAGAGAGTGAATAGGAAATCACGTTCGGTGTAAACAATGGAAAATTTTCTACGCCTTTTTTTTTCTGTTAGTTATGTAGGCTGTTAAATTGTCGTGGTGTAAATATTGGTAGTTTAAAGGGTAATTTTCTGTGATGTTGCAATGGAAAGTTTTTCAGAAACAAGGTGCTACTGACAACTGAGTGAAATGTGGAAATTACTCCAGTATCCTTGGGCATTTGGAGAAGAGCAGCTCCGAGCGTTACGGGATCTGCGAGAAGATGGTGGAGCAACCGAAGCCCGAGAAGAGAACGTTTCAGCATTTGCTTTGAACTAGACAAAGTTTTTTTTTACAATACATACATCCTTGTTACATTTTCCCATTATTAATTTATTAATTATGTCAGACTCAGACATCTCTAGATTAGGTCAGATTCAGGGTCACGCCGGACTGTTTCGGATCATTTTCAAAACGAAACAATCTCCATTCTCCAGCACACTTTTCGGAAACGTAGTGGATGTAATTGCGTCAATCGAGTAGGTTAGTAAATAAGGTAGCTCATTTCACAACAGTTTATTATTGTAGGTTTGAATCCGATTTGCTAGTGAATACATTTACAAACTGGGCGATGGAAGCCTTAGAGGAAAATAGCAGAATTATCTCTTAATATTTTATGTATTTTTTCATATTTTTAAGGTCTATAGTAGGTAGTTTGTTTGTTTCTCAATATCTTAGTTTTCTTGTATATGTTATGCAAATCCTACTTATTTTCCTTATTTTTTCAATGAAAATATTCTTTTGTTCTATCCTCTGCAATTATTTATTGGATTTTAAGGTGGGTTATTTTCTCTCCTTTCAAGACTATGAAACAGTTTGAGGTTTGTTGAATTCAATACAGTGTAAGAATCGAGAACAGAAACCAGTAAACCAGTCACTGAATAGAATAGAAAACAATGATGATCATCATCGTTAATTCGTTATCCGTCAGCACCAAACAGGACATAGTTATTGAGAGGGGTTGAGAGAAACAGTTATCATCACCAGTGCTTTATAAGATGCAAGCTAGTAGTAGTAGCTAGGTTGGTCACATCAAGACTCAAGAGCATGAGCATTTATATTTACACAAGCAGAAAATGTTATTAAAATATTATTTGTACACGTGCTAAACCATCAGGGAGAGTAGTATATCTGAATTCCTACTCCAGGGAGTAGCTAGCTATTCTTTGCCTCATTTCTCTTCTTACTAGCAAAACTTCAACACCTGGGGCTGGGGGGCATAAATAAAATAGTGTTGGGTAGATGCCTTGCCACAACCCAGGATTCCCTCTCCATTGAATTAGAATTTTCAATCCAGAATTCAAGGAATAGACCAATAAAAACAAGATTTATTTCGACAAAGTGAAGCAAGGCAAGAAGAGGTTCCACAGATTTTATTTTATGTGATGTTTTAAATGCCAAGCATTCTTTTAATATTTTGCTTTATTGGGATCCCCATTGAAACCAGCATGCATCTAAGATTTATAGTTCCAACTCAGCTTTGGATCCTCTATTAATTTGTAGTAGCCATTGGGATTTGGGCCTTTATAAAAGATTGATCATCAGAAGCTTGTTTTGTGGTCTAATCTCCTCCTCTCCCAATAGCAACAATGAGGTATTATAGAATTGACTAGAATCGGTATTAATACAAACTAAAATTAGTAACATCTTAATTACTTGGTGCAGAATATCCAACATAATTTTACTTATTTATTTGTTGATGACTCTAGTAATGTTGCTTCTTCTATAATTACCAACTATTTCCCATTGTCATGCAGGTTAATTTCTGTACTTTGATGATACAATTCGTTGTGAGAAACCTGTTCCTTTAATTTGTTGATATGTTATTTTAGCTAGCTCTAGTTAAAAACAGCAAATCATTACTCAAATTGGTTTTTGACATAAATATAATTGTTAAAACTTGCCAAATATGTTTTTAGAGACAAGATGGCCTTGGGTAGAGGAACAAGAAAAAATAAATTTGGTTAAATTCTGTCCCAAGTTGTTCTTGCAATCAAATATTCAACCAAGGATAGACTATTAAGCCTTTTATCTTTCATTTGCTTTCTTTACCATTAGTGCAGCATTAGAAGAGGATATTAATATTATTTGATATTATTATGTATTTATTTATTATTTCTTACAAATGCCTTCAATAATTCTAAAGTCATTCAAATTTACACTCGGACAAGGGGGGGAGTAATATCCACACCCTCTCTTTTGCATGAGTTACCCAATAGACAAATATGAAAGGTCCTTGTCTTGTCACAATCACTCAACATCTGTTAGAGAGAGAGAGAGAGAGAGTCTAAAGTTTCTAATGCAAGACACTATAAACATAACAAAAATGTTCCTTTCATGTTAAACAAGCTACTTGAGTCATGAAAATGACTTTGAATCTTTGTTAATAGGACATCTACTTTAGAATTATAATGAGGTACAAAGATGCTTACTGCTAATCACATATTAATGTAGCTTTATCTAATTATAATAATAATAACAATATTAGATAGGAGTTAGGTTTATGAGTTAATTTCAAACCTTTGGTCGTCACATGAAAGAATCCCTGACAACCCCAGAATTGACATTTTTTAAATAATATCACCGCCTTGTATTAGTTTTATTGTTATTATTATACTCCCGTAATCAAGATATTTACACTCCATGTGGCATACATCTTTTGTTGAAAGCTTGATTCTTGTTGGTAAAGGGAAAGCTTTAACACAAATTATTTATAATGAAAAAGTACAGCCACATGAGAAAGAAAAGATAAGCATTAGAACATTGCACATGATCATGCAGATCCCCCATCTTCAGATATAGCTTCATTCTGTGTATCTAAGTGCAGCTTCTCATATTTAAATGTTTTCTCAGTACCATGAACCATAGGCAATGTCTCCGTACATTATTTGCTGGGGCAACCATGCAGGAACCCAAGGTTGGCTCTTCTAACTGTTTCTAAAACTTTACAGTCAGCTCTCCTCCTATTCCTTAGCTATAAAAACATATATATATACATATCAACAAAGTCTTACAGCTTACTCAAAGCACATACTATACTTGACTTTTGGATTAGAAAACTGCAACCTAAACCAAATTGATACATCTGACTATCTATCTATTGTTCATCCACACAGATTATTCTATGAGCTTACATGATTATACTAACCTGGCTGCAATAATTTAATGGCCGTATCTTCACAAATTCTAAGTAAATCACGAAACCGGATTAATAAATATGGCAGACGTGCGCATAAACAACCAAAAGTTAGTATTCAATGATACAATAAAATATGTATCTTCTAGGTGGTAGTGTGGGGGCAAAGGTAGAGAAAGGAGTTGGTGATGGTGGGGGCCCAAATGATGAATGCCAAGGATTGCCCATCTGACAAACTGTCTGGACTACAGGACCAGGCATGGCATCCTTCCATGTGCCTGACCAAGAGGAAGAGTGGTCATCAAGAAAGGAACATTAATTAATTTCGCTTCTTCTTCTTCTTTTTTTTTTTTAATTTTAATGTATTTTCTAGGTGTTTTAGAAGAAACTAAGTTGCAGAGACAGACTAATGCCAATATATTAATGTTTTTCAGAAAACTTAACAAATGAAGATTCCATAAACAAAACTCTCTTCCCGTTCCAAGCACTAAATCTTAAGTCTACATTTGTAGTTTAAGTAGAAGCCTAGACAACAGTGCTATGAATGCATTTATCACTCTCACAGTTTTACTAGATTAATTATATGAACAAGATTATATTTAATTTGTAGATCATTATTAATATAAAACTAAAACTCCACTATATGTCACGTAACACATAATAGTTATCCATTGAGTAGAGAAAAAGAGCAAAAGGCGACAAAAACAATAATAGAGCGGATGCACCGATGCACCACCACCCATCAATTGGGACTTGAAAAACAAAACGAAACAAAAATCTTTCATTCATCAACTTGGATGCAACTATGCAAGCTCCTCTCCTAAGAAGTTTCCGTATAATCTTTATATATAAACCTCTATGTCAATTCAATGAAAAAGGTTGGTTTGTGTTTTTATGCAAGGGACGTGCTGGGCGGGATGTATGGGGATAGCCGGATAGGAATATAGGATTGAGATATATAGCAACTAGGTCGCGCGTGGGGATGAGTCATCCCACTGACACGTGTATTTCAT